TAAGCAGAGAGGGAATAGACTGGCGTAGTGGTAGACATGAGTGTAGTGTGTGTGTGTGTGTGTGTGTGTGTGTGTGTGTGTGTGTAGAGTGTTTTGCAGAGCAGACAGTAAAATGGTGGACAGTGAGGAAAAAGTTGTGCATAGAGCAGTGGAGATCAGTATGGCCAGGCAGCTAGTAGTGCTGTGGATGAGAGCAGTTGTCACAATTGGACAACTAGAGCCTTGTGAGTAAACAGACAGGCGAACACATTGGGGGGAATTTATCAAAACCTGCTTATCAAAACCAAAATCAGCTTCTCTCTTCAGTTTGTTCAGTTAAGCTTTGAAAGGGAAAGGTAGATGCTGATTGGTTATCATGCACAGCTGGTAAATTCCCAGTTTTGATAAATTCCCCTCTGAAATCTCAGAATCCAATAATGTTGGACAGTTTACTACAGAATCTTTTGAAGTTTCACATTTGGGCTGCACTGGGTCCTTGATTTGTCGGAGAGGAGATTGATCAGGTCACCCATGCTGCAAGAAAGGTTGGCAAAGCAGGCTTAAAGGAGAACTATGGGGTTAAGGCTTTTCCCCATAGTTCTCCTTGGGGTAACGGGAGGACACAAACTAGCGTCCTCCCATCACCCTAATCTCAGTATACCGCGAGCTGCAGCTCGTGGTATACTGAGTCGCTGAAGCGGATCCCGACAATTATGTCTGGATCCGCCCAGCTGCGTGAGTGACTGCTGGCTCTGCCTATCTAGAGGCAGAGCCAGCTGTACCCCCTCCCCCGTCCGTTCCGCCAGTCAGCGCTGGAGGATCGGAGGGGGGAATACAGCCCCTCTCCTGTCACAGCAGAGAGCCGTGACAGGATCGAAAAGTAAGCGAACGCCGGTATGTGTTCGCTCACTTCCCGATCTACTGAGCCGACCTGTGACAATCTCATTGTCACAGGTCGGCTAGAACTATGAAGTGAGTGAAAAGCACTCACCTCATAGTTCTCCTTTTAATTACTCCTTTTAATTATTTCTTAAGTACTCTTAAGTAAGGTTTGCATTCATTTCTGCTGTAATTAATTTCAGCTTGTGGTTTTTCCTGCTTTTGTATATTTGCATAACAACTAACAATTCAATATGCATTTTGATTTATGACTTTTTTTAAAGCATTCCTTTGTGTGCTAGGTTGTGGTACTTTGTTGCATAACATGCATTTTCATTATTTTATCTTTGGAAGGAAGATTGCACGTGGTGAGGCTATCAGGTGTTCACATGAGGCCTGAGTAGAAAGAATATAAATAATGTTGCATTTGTCCAGAAAATTCCTATTTATGATATTATATTCATATATTCTTACACAAAGCTAGAGCACATATGTTATTATCAGCATTCCTTTAACACTGTATATTCTCTCACTACATACTGTCAGTCTTTCCCACATACCGGGGTCTTCCTCTGATAGTTTGTTGCTCAGACTGTTTCCCTTTCGTAAGATCTGCATTGTTCAACTTTTTGGTTTCTTCTGTTTTTACAAATTTAATTCCAACTTGAACTTCTGGCAGTTTTTGTTCCTTCAAAATGGATTTCATGGTTATATGCTGTTGTGAGGTGGATGCCCCTGTTGGGATTTCCCCCCACTTCTTGTGACAGGTGGCTACTGGAAAGTAAAACCCTGCAACTAGGACACGGCAGTAAAACCTGTTTTTGGCTTCTTTTTTTTTTTTTTTTTGTGACGAAGGGTTAGAATATGTGTCCGCTTTAAATTGGTGTCTGTTTTTCTTCTCCCGCCTTGTCATCTAGCGAGGTAGTAGTGTATAATCTGCCTTTTGCTTCCTACTCTATTCAAAGCAATGGAGTTCGGACTTAACAATTTATAAGTGGATACATGAAGCCTCACCTTTTGTGTGTCCATATTGGTAGATTAGTGGAGACAAAGCAGGCCAGATCCCATGGGGCACAAGTGTAGCTAGACTCGGATGTGTCAGCAAGTCATTAAACCCAGTGGCTGCTTGTATGCCCTACTCTAGGACGAAAGTTACGTAACATTGCCTCAGGCAGATAGCATTTGGGTTCTTATAATGACACGACTAATCTCATTTTGCACTGAACATTCAGTTTAAGGTGGGATTTCATGTGTGGGCAAAACACACCTAAACATTATACCTCTACAGTCCTGATTCCTTTCTAGCAATTTTAAATGTAATTTAAACTGTTGGGCTTCTTCTCGTCCCTTCCCCATGTGATAGCACTGGGTGCCTCAGAGGCCAGTCACCAAACACCAGCAGAATAGGGAAGGGAGGGTAAGTACACGTTGCTGCTGTGACTGCCATTAAGGTGAACCAGCTGCTTTGCCCTGGAATGGGCAGTCTTAGATAAGGGATTGCCTACTGTCTGCACACAGGACAGAAAGCCAATTTGTGACTAGAAAACAATTTTCATCAGTTCACTTGGCTTTCCTGACATCACTAAATTATAAAATTATTTAAGCTTTTTGGTCTGACGACAAATGTGTGTGTTTTTTTTTTTTTTTTTTTACAGCCTACAAAATGGCTGTTCTCAACTGGTGTTAGTGATATGTATGCAGTCTTCAACAGTAAACTGATCAGCAACTATTGTATACTGAAAACAAGTTTTCATGTAATGACAGGACTGAGCATACCTGCCCTAAATGACAAGGGAACTCCTCTTCTTGCTAAATTTACACGTCTTCTTGTTTAAGGGAGGAGTCGACCTACATATTTATACCCGAACACCACATGTCATGTGGATTCCTCACTGTCTGCTGGAAAACTTGTTTTTCCCTTCTCTACGCATAACAGCCCAAATTGTATTCTGTTTTGCAGTGTCCATGTGACTTTGATTAGTGAATTAAATTATGTACTTTTTATCTAGCTGATCTCATTGATTTCATTGTTAATTCTTTAAAATGTGCTCATTAGGTATTGTAAATATCATTCTCCACATCACTGTCCTGAAATTCTAGTAAGTTGTAAGGAAAAGTGGATCACATTTTACATATGTGATAAACACATCTAAAAATGGGAAAAGTAGTTTGAGCGAGGATACATTTTAATATTTCCACCTGACTGACTGGCATTCAGAGGAAAGTGTTTAGGTAGAAGTAGTGCTTAAAATTCCTCTCCATCTGTGAAGCAAGAACACTGAAGGACATCATGCACCATAGTGGTAATTATGTGAGGCCAGTCAGGGTGGGGAGAAGTGCAGCCTGCCATTAGCAATAAACAAAGCTGTAGACTTTTGTGGGTGACAGAAGGTTAAAGGAAAGACATCTGGAAACATTTTTGCATTCTATAAATGTAAGTACAGGTTAGTGTTCTATAATGTATGCGACAAACCTAATGCTAAATGAATGCCACCCACTGACTTTCTAAAATAAGCTTGTACGAGCTAGATTGCACTTGGTGTTCTATTTAATATTCCTGTAAACACCTTTCCTACAGCTATGCTTAACATTAATAACTGTCGCCTTGATCTGTCATCAACACATACCTGCACATTCCAACATATACATGTTGTTGATTCACGAAAGGAACCTGGTACATTCGGTTAGGTTTGAATTATCTTTTTTAGTAATTTGTGGAGAGGGGAGCTGCCTATTCTTCTGCTTTAAGGATTAATGATGGGTGTAGAAACTAGTGCTCTGGGGGGCCTGACTGAGCAGTAAAAGGTGTGTAATGGCACCTCAGGATGCCTTTATTTTTAATGCAGCTTTGCTTTCTACATTTTCTGTAGTTGCAGGTTCACTTTAAAGTGAACATTTGCACAGTATAAACACTTAAACTATGCCATGATTAAGCTCATTATCTATAAACATTGTGGAGATCAACTCAGACTCAACCCTAGGGCACGTAGAAAACCTGCGCTGAGGTGGGTTGAGGTGCATAAAACGCAATGCACCTTGCCTCTGCTCATTGGCAGAATATAAAGTTCATCACGCTCTTGGCACATCAACAAATTGCCGCTTAGTGTATATGTGGGTAAAAAAGCAGCAATGGCAGCCGCTCTGGTCTGTTTGAAACTAGCAAAAAGGGAAAGGTTCACATGGACAGGGCAATCTACAAAATGGTACAAAACAGAAAAATGTGCTGGGGACCCCCTTTGTACTGTTTTGTATATTGCCCTGCCCATGTGCACCTTTCCTTTTTTGCTAGTTTAAAAAGGATCAGAGCGGCTGCCTTTATTGCTTGTTTGAATTTGGTGCAGGTGCACACTAAGTGTTCAGCTTCCTTGTAAAGGTCACGTCTGCACTTGTACAGGACCCTTGTGGTGATATTGTGAGGCTGAATTCAGAGCCTCCCCACTGTGCTGAAACTACAAATCCCATAAGGCATTGCAAGCCACAGGCATGACTCCCAGAGGCAGAAGCTTGATGGGATTTGTAGTTTCGACACAGCTGGAGAGCCAAGGTTGCCTACCCTTGGTGTAGAGAGACAGCAGGGGTTTGGAATTCCTATCTCCCGATGCCTGGGACATGCAGTTCCAGGCGCCGGGCGGGTAGTTGTTTTCTACATTTAGCCCTGCTTTGGGAAAGCAGGTATAAATGTACAGCAGGAAACCTGCCGCATGTTTTGTACAAGTGATCTCGGTGATATTGCCGAGATCACTAGTCTGCAGCCTGCATTGAGGAACCTGGCATTGGGGCAGCAAAGAGAGTAAATCTGGCCCTGGCTGAATGGCAACTGCTTCAGGACCAGGAGTGGTCCAGTGCGGTATTGATCAAAGAGTTCTGGATTTCTACCCACTAAGTTTTTGAAGTTTTTAGATTTATGTGGAAGAAGCAATCTACAAATGTTTGTTTTTTGTAACGGATAATTCGGTATTAATTTAAAGCAATCCTGTTTCCACAGTTGAGATAACCACTTGAATATTAGGCACTTGCAAGGCCCGTTGTTATAATGTGCTATAAAATCCATTGCTACGTATTGCCATTAGTACCATGCAGTGTGCAAATTCTTAATTCTTTGTTGTCAAACCTTATGTAACACACCTTAACTTTTATTATAGGACAGGAAGATTATGACCGGCTGCGTCCTCTCTCCTATCAAGATGTTAATTTGGTTTTAATTTGTTATGATGTTACAAACCCTACCAGCTTTGACAATGTTTTAATAAAGGTGAGAGTGGTCTCATGAATGTAAAAGTTTATCTTACTTTCTTGTACAGTTCTGTGTCTCTACTTCTGCTTTATCTCTGCATATCAGGCTAGCAGGGCAAGGCTAGCTAATTATTAGTCCTAGGATCAACTTCAAGCAGTAGAGAGGAGTTCATAAAGGGGAAAAAGGGTCATTAAGAAATCCAGAGAAGGACCAATAACAAAAGGAAAGTGCCACCAGTTGATATGGTTAGTTGCTGGACAGGCAATGTGGGAATGGGTGGTCTGTGCTGGAAGTGCTTATAAGTTCTGTTCAACCAGTTTTTGTGTTTCACACTTAATAGATATTAATCTTCCTCACTATTACCTGGTTCAGCTTTACAGCCTCCAGTGTCACCTTCAAGCTCATTGGATAGTGAATGAGCAGCATGATAATGCAAATTAATTATCCTGTAAGTAGGCTGGAGGCAGAGGGGTGGCAAGGAAAACTATAAAGCTGGACCAGGGAAAAGGGGTGTCCCCCCATGCCTTGTCATACTGGGTGAACTCAATGAGACATCCTTGAACAGGTAAAATAGTTCACATGTATTCATGTCAATAATATATGTTTGCCTGAAGGTATGTTGTAAAAGAAATCTATTAGGATAGAATTATGAGAATGGCTGTCGCTGACGTACGTTTTGAAGTACAGCTGATATGCACACTAATTGCAAGTCATTGACTCACTTAGTAGGGGAAGGATAAGTATGAAAACCACCACGCATGTACATCAAAAACAAGTCAGCTGTGGCAGTTCTCACATTTCTATCTGGACAGATTCCTTCTGACTAAAGAAAATGATCGGAATGGCAGTAACCATAGTTCTATCTGGACAGTTTCCTTCTGAATAGAGCAGATTCTAGAGATGACCGTTCCCATATTTCTATCCAGACAGGTTCCTTCTGAATAAGGAAGATTCTAGAGATGGTAGTTCCTATACTCTTATCTGGACAGGCTCCTTCTAAATAGGGAAGAGTGTAGAAATGACAGTACCCATATTTCTCTCCAGGCAGCTTCCTTCCAAATAGAGAAAATGATGGAGATGGCAGTATATATATTTCTATCCAGACAAGTTCCTTCTGAATGAGGAAGATTTTAAAGATGGCAATTCTAATACTCTCACCTGGACCGGGTTGTTCTAAACTGGGGAGAATGTAGAGATGGCAGTTCCCATATTTACATCTGGGCAGGTTCCTTACTTAAAGGGAAAGTTATAATGATGCTAGTTCCCATATTTCTATCCAGACAGGTTCCTTCTAAATGGGAAAGATTCTAGAGATGTCAGTTCCCATACTGCTACCTGGATGGGGTATCCTTTTAGTAGGGAAGATTGTAGAGATAGGAGGTTCCATCCTTTAACTGAGACAAGTTCTCTATGAATAGGGCAGATTGTAGGTAGAGGGGTGGGAGACAACCTGTGTGTTTACTTATAAACAGAGGAGATAATAAATATGGAAATGGCATACACATTTTCCATGCTAGAGTTTGCAATAGAAAAGGTTTTGTTTACATTCTTTCACAAAGGTTTTATTTGGTTTTTGTCATTTTTTTGTTTTCACATAAAGGTTACAAAAATAACAGTTGTTTACATTCTATTAATTAAAAACGATAGAATTTTTGTGCTCATTCTTGTCTTGCTTATAAAATATATTTTGTTAAACTAGGCAAAGACTAATTTGTTTCTAAGGCTGCACTGGACTGCAAAGGCTTATGTTCATATAGATATTCTTGGCTATTATTAGCAGTTTTTATCTTTTGCATCAAGCTGGTTATCATTGTCATTGCAGTCTGGAAGATGTGTTCGCAGTTATCAATGTAAATCTGATAATGTCAGGAAGAAAACTGGGTGTGAGTGTTGATACAGCAGCTAGGTATGCAATGTGTCATGTCACAATGAAAGTACAACTTCTATACCAAACAGTACACTCATGCAGGTTAATGTCACACACCTATTGATTGAGGTGGCAGCATTAATCTAACACACTGTATGGCCGCTTTCCATTGGAAATTAAAGTTTTTAAAAAAACGATCTTCTCCATGTTTCCCAATGAACTTCCATTTGAAGTGAATGCAATTATTAGAGCACACTTGGTTTCATCAAACTAAAGTTGGCTATTTTGCAGAAGGAGAAATTGCTGCTACTGTTAAATTTGTGGCCAGATGTTAATTTTTGGCCGAAGTGCCATTTTCCATTGCATGTGCATCCTCGTGCTGATGCTAAGGTTTAGGGAATAACTGTCATGTCATATTATATACCATCTGTTTTTTTCTTTCTCAGTGGTATCCTGAAGTACATCACTTTTGTCGAGGGGTGCCTATAGTGCTTATTGGTTGTAAAACAGATCTGCGTATGGATAAAGAAAGGCTACGGAAACTGAAATCCTCTCAGCAAGACCCAATCACATATTACCAGGTAACCTAGCATTCCTTATTTCCTACAAGTTGGCTTGCTCCTGTGATATTTGGGGATATTAGCACATATGGTGAGCTCTGTAAGGATGCAGTTCATTCACAATACCTTCCTTTTTAAGGGCTTGGTAGCCCTTAAAAAGTCCACACATCCACATCAGGTGCTTGATTCAGCACTGCTTGATTCACATCAATGCACCGCTTGCAAAACAGCACAAGTTTAGCCTCCTGGCTTTTACTTTTAAAATAAGTAATTCTGACCCACCAGTGCTCTCTGTAGTGCTGTCCTGCACTTGTACTGGTGGCCACTCAGGCTCTTGGCTCACCCTGCCTGTCTTCGTGTGCCCCCAGCACATACACCACCAGGCTCCACTGTGACTTATGGGTGAAGTCCTCCTTACTCCTGAACACCATCTGTTTCGATTTCAAAGCAGGAGCACTGAACCCTAGCCAGCACCCTGCTCTACAAGTTTAAACAGACTCCCGGCGGCAAAAGTCGCCGGGAGTCTGTTTAAACAGCCCCGATGCTGGCGACGTACACTGTACGTCGTCAGTCACGAAGGGGTTAAGCGCTGTGCACAGCTGTTCAAAATTTGTATCTTGGTTACTGCTAAACCATGGACCCAAGACTGGAGATTTCTTCTGAATCACTTTGAAACCTCCTGGTTCCAGGATCCCAAGCAGAATCCAGAAAATCTGTAAAGATTTTTCCTTGAAACAGCCCTTGTTTCATGACACCTATCAGCACCTCTGGCTAAGAGTCTTGGGTGATCATAACACCAAATTCCTCTGTGGGATTGCCACAGAATACCACACCTCCCAATTCTGAACTTCATCCTGTTAATGGAGAAAATTGTGCTGATTGTAAAATAATGTTGGATTGATTCCATTTATTAATTCATTCATAGTGTACAAATTGAAATTCTTTTAATGTTGTAATTATCTACATAAAGGAATTGAACACGTTTTTTATTTTGCCTTTCAAACAAATTGCCTACCCTTGATGAGGTGGTCTTCACTCTTCATCCCATTAAAGGGATGTCTTCGATCTACATCTCTGATGTGGGGAAAAAACAGTTTAGGAGTATAGATCCGGAACTGAGCCTAATAGAAGTGCATGTTTGTTGAGGAGTAAAAAAGGGTATGCTATGCAGAAGAATAGAATAAGATCTAAAATGAAATATAAAAAGCTTGATCCGGCGGCCGGCATCTTGCTTGGGCCCCCCCAGAGCCTGAGGCCCTGGGCGCCCGCACCGGCGGTAGTTCCGCCACTGAGCTCTATCATGAGAGGGTGTGGATTTAAAAGGAGTTCCATAATGTTCTGCTTAGCCTTGCTGTTCCTGGAATGCAGAGAGGGCATTCTGGTACACCAGGGGTCTCAAACTCAATTTATTTGGAGGCCAATGAACAAATTGTTTTAGTCCCATGGAGGCAGTTTGCCAAATTTCATGCTTCAAAATAAAAATTTAACTATATATGGTACCAGTGTTGATGTCTGCCCATGTTGCAAGCGGCAACTGTCACCCAGTCAAGTTAATGATCAGGTGACAGCAACTGCATGTAAACGCCTGCACACCACACGTAATGGTATGTGATATAATTACATGCAGTTAGTAATCAATCACTATCCCTGGATGCATCCAGGGAGAGTGATGGTTTTCTAACTGCATGTAATTATATCACATACAATTACATGCAGTGTGCAGGCGTTTACATGCGGCGGCTGTCACCTGACCATTAACTTGAACGGGTGACCGTTGACGCTTGTTAAGGCCAGATTAGGGATTCCTGCTGCAGCAAAACGCAAGTTCCGGACAGGAATCCCTAAGCGCAACACTGAAATATAGATGTGAATGGTGCCATGTGTATG